AAAAGCTCGAGACTGAAAAGAGGGAGAGGGACACAGAGATATCTTTCGGATGGATGAAGAGGATAACAGGCCTGGCCAGGTGGAGGTTTAGCCTTGTTTAGTCATTTTAAAAATTTATTTTTCGTCAAAAACTCATTTTTAATTAAATATTCTTTTTAATAAAATAATTTTACAGTAAATTTAGAATATTTTTCTATTTTTTAACCATATATTCTCCCGAAAAACTATTATCAAAAATTTATGTCAATAGGAACTTAATTTTTATTATTATTAACTTTTAAGAGAATAGGACAATAAAAATGTGAAAGTTCATAATCGACTGGCAATTCTATGCTTACCTAACAACCAGCTATCCTTTTAATTGGTGACCCATAGAATAGGAATCGGTTTAGTTGATGTATTTTTCAAGAGAACTATCCATTGTCAATTAATAATTATCTGTTTATGAGTAATTGATTATAATTAGAAATGATAACTAGTCGTATATATAAAGTTAATTATTAATTTTAATCATCCATTTTTCGCTATCCATAACTTTTATCAACTTTCCATTCACATATCTCATAAACTTTTATAAAAGTATATTAAAAATCTAATTTTTAGGAAAACCAAACATGGACTATGTTATCGTTGCGGGTTAATGGCACAAAGCGTCCTTACGTTTGACAATTATTGCGAAAAACGTCCATACGTTTCATTTTTTTGCATTTTCGTCCTTATTTCAACGTTTCATTGCTAAAAACGTCATTTTCACCATTTTTGAATATAAAATGATCAAAATACCGTCCTATTTAAATAAAACCAAAAAAGAAAAATAAAAATAAAAATAAAAAATAAATTGCAATCTTACTCCTAAACGTTTTAAAAAGTGCAAGTGAGTCCAAATAATTATTAAAAGGCCTAATAGCACAAAACGTCTCTATATTTGGCCTATAGTGTGCAAAATATCCTTATTTTCCAAAATGATGAAAATAACGTTTTCCGCAATGAAATGTGAATACACGGATGAAAATGCAAAAAATATTGAAATGTATGGACGTTTTCCGCAAGAAGTGTCAAAGGTAGGAACGTTTTTCGCAAGAAGTGTCAAACGTAGAGATGTTTTGTGCTATTAGGCCTTATTGAAATTGAAACCATTGCCAAACGAATGAACCTCCATATCATTTCCAAAATACCATCACCCAAATTCCGGCGGCACCACCTATTCCAGAGATATTCATGTTATTTCCAGCACACCAATCAACTATACTCATCAGGGCGCTTCTCTTCTTCTCCAAATTGGACTGCAACCTTAGAAATGAAAAAAACTCCGACCAACCATCGCTCAAACCGCTGAACCTCCATACTGCTGAACCATTTGTTGATGTTTTAAAACCATAAAGAGAAGCGCTCTGGTGAGTATAGTCGACTGGTGTGTTGGAAATGACATGGACCTCTCTGGAGTAGGTGGTGCCGCCAGAGTTTGGGTGATGGTATTTTGTAAATGGTATAGAAGTTCATCGATTTGGCAATAGTTTCAATTTCAATAAGGCCTAATAGTACAAAACTTCTCTATGTTTGATACTTCTTGCAGAAAACGTCCCTACCTTTGACACTTCTTGCTGAGAACGTCCATACATTTCAATTTTTCATTTCATTTTCATCTCTATTTTTCATGTTTCATTACAGAAAACATCAGTTTCATCATTTTGAAACGTAAGGATGTTTTGTACAGTATAAGCCAAATGTAGGGACGTTTTGTGCTATTACGCATTTTAATAATTATTTGAACTCACTTGCACTTTTTAAAACATTTAAGAGTAAAATTGCAATTTATTCTTTTTTTTTCTTTTTATGGTTTCATTTAAATACGAGGGTATTTTGGTCATTTTACATTCAAAAATAGTGAAAAATGACGTTTTTAGCAATGAAACGTTGAAATAATGACGAAAATGTAAAAAATAAAACGTAGAGACATTTTCCGCAATAAGTGTCGAACGTAGGGACGTTTTGTGGCAGAAGATGCTTAAATTTAATTTATATAATTTCTCATAAAGATAAGTTCAATGCTCAAATAATAGGATTAACATAAAAGGTAAAACACGAGTGAACAAATCCCAAAATCAAAAAGCAAGCAATTAAGATTAAGTTGCACACCCAAAAGATGTACTAGAATATGATATCAAAGCCGAGAAGGATTAGATACTAAGACTAGAAGACAGGCATTTGAAATCAAGCATCGAACATATAAACTAAAGTCGTGACTGTTGAAAAAGAATTCTTGTAGTCGATTTCATATTCACGAGTTACTGTGACTTGAGATGACAAGAAAGTAAAAGATGTGATTTGGGCTAGAATCTTTGGTGGAGCACAGACATATAAGGTTTAAGGATCTTGGATGGCGAAAGAGGTCTGTTGCCTCCAAAATATACTTTTATTTATTATTATTATTATTATTTTATTTTTTTTTGGGGTTAAAATTTTGCACGTGTCTAATCTAATTTATCAAACACGAATTCATTTCACACAGAATCACTAAAATTGGAACTGAAAGTTATATTTGTGGATGGAGCTGATACATTGCAAATAAAATAAACAATTAATACTGTTTGATTCATTTCATTGTTTGTTCATGGCAAAGTGGAATGTGCGGTGTTAGACAATATTAAAGAATAAAAATAAGCTAAAATATTGTCTGTTAGGCCTTTCAAATATTATGTATAAAATACATCTAATCACAGCAGTTCACAACCTTCTTACTGATAAGCTTGAATATGATTTACACCAACTCCACTTTCTTCCAATTTTCTCATGCGCGTAGGGCATATTTGGTACCTTCGACCGGAACATATTGAATAGGATTATAGAAGAAAATGATATTTAAATCTTGTCTGCTGTACTGTATAGTACTATCCAATACTTGAGTTCCTACCATGTAAATAGTTGGCTCCCTAGAGTAACGGTAGTAGTACTTTCACCGGTGACTGTTGTGAGCCTAATCTCCTGCTCGTGTATTCGATCAAGCTCCAATACAACATTTTCCATTTGTGGTCTCTCTTTTCCTGGAAACCTCATGCAATTTAGCATCAACATTATAAGATCCCTCATTCCCTCGGCAGTGAAGCTCCCGGACAGCCGACGGTCCACTAAATTCTTCGAACTCAGAAGCATTTGGACCTATTTAACTTAAGAAAAATAAGTACTTATAAAAGCTTAAATCACATAAGAAGAAGTAGCAATAACTGAAAATTGAGTGGAGGAGGAATATTGGAACTTCGAAAAATTAATTTATTACTTCATTTGTTAAACGTGTCTCATTTAAGCTTTGTCACTCGAAATTATGTATCTACTTATCTGTTTCAATCACTACCCTTTCAAGAATACTTGCTAAATAACTACTTATTTACTAAAGCTTGAGTTTTTACTCGAAATGCTCCATTACTCTCGACTTATCTCCTAGAAGTATCTATGACGTGGAAAAATTATTAAAGGTTCTCTACGTACCCATTGAAGTACACGTTCATTTGATCCGAAGGCCTCCTTATCAGTAGCCTCCCTTCCTGTGATGAGCTCCATTAGGAACACTCCGAAGCTATATACATCACTTGTTTTAGAGAAAACACCCACTTGTTCGACCCTAGACATTCAATACATTATGCATCAGAAGTTGATACAGCTAACTTCAATCAAGAAATAATAAATAAATGCTAACACTAGAGAGTAAGGGCACGTTTGGCATAGTTTAGGATTTGATTTTATCCTATTTTTCTTTCTTATTATTGTCCAGTACTTACTCGGGATCTTTAAAAACATTGAAATTGGAACTCGATGGATTTGCATTGCCAATTTTCTCGAGTAGTTTTGACACTCCTGCATCTGCAACTTTGGCAATGAAATTCTCATCAACCAAAACGTTAGCTGTTTTAAAGTTATTGTGCAATGCAGGAGGGCATAGGCTGTGCAAATGGCATAAACCTGCAGTAGTAAAAGAACACGTGCTTCGATTTATTTCTTTTTTGAAACTTAGGCAAACTCGAGACAATGCTCTTCCAAACAACAATGTCCAGATTAAAAACCGATTAGAATGAATTTTACTTAAGGAATGGTATATCAGATCATTGAAAGAAACAGGTGTTATCTCTGATAATACCCTTGGCTGCACCAATTGCAATAGATAGCCTTTGCTTGAACTCTAGCTTTGTTCTTGAATCTTCTCCTGTATCTATCAAGAAACAAATTATTATGGCATAGAACTCTCGTGGCATACTTGTTAAGGTATTATCGAACGTAAAAAAGAAAATAAAATCATGTTGGTTGTACTATTTAGTCTTATCCAATATTTTGTACCAAAATCCAGCCTTGAGAAAGATTCATACCGTACAAATGGTTACACACGCTTCCATTGGGTACATACTCGAAAACCAGCATTTGGTATCCGTTTTCTTGGCAGTAGCCTAGTAGAGTAACCAAAGTTCTGTTCCAAATTCGTGATAAATAGGCCACCTGTAACCATATTTGCAAAACTCAGACAAGGATATACAATTTCCAAAATCAAATACATTTGAGTAAACCATGGAGATCAAAAGTCCAAGGCACCATCAGTCAAAAAAATAAAAGGAAGCTAAACTCTGTTCATTCTATTGTCCAGTTGTATCGAGTACTACCTAATAATTTTGCAACTCTTTTATACCTCATCTATAAATTCTTGCTTCGGAGCACCTCTACGCCTTTTGATAGCCACAACAGTCCCATCACTTAGCAATCCTTTATAAACAAGGCCAAAATTTCCACATCCAATGAGATTGCTCTCATTGAAATTCCTTGTTGCTTGCTCCAATTCTTCCATTCCAAACTGCCTTGCTGAATGCTGTCCAGCTGCAAGTGGGGTTGCAGATGAGCTGGTTCCACCTCTATTTGACTCTACTGTCATAATTGAGAAAGAAATTAGCAATAATAATCAGAAGACCAACAAAAATCACATCTTCATGGTAGTTCACCCTCAATGTGACAGCTGCAGGTTTTTAGTGTAACGAAGAATAAGAACAACGAATACACAATTTTTTTTTAATTTTTCATGACTCATGTACACAAAAATGGTCCGCTAATATATTCTTTATATAATTGGAATACTAGGGTGGCTTGATACACGTATGAATTGCTAGTAGGTTAAAAATGTCCAGGAAAAGGGTTTTAGGAATCTTGAAAATTACCCACTGCAGATGGATCTGAAGAAGCTGTGTCTGAATTCTTGTTTGAGAACTTTCTACACTGTAACATACAAAGCCATGTTAACAAAATCACTGTTC